GGAGCTATTCTGCCTCGCCTACATCGGATCAGTGGTCGAGCTCTTATTCTGCGCCACGAACAAAGCATTCTGAGCCGCAAACATCGTCGTCTTGGAGCTCTTCTTCTTCTGCGCCGCCAACATCGGATCCGAGCGTTTTGAACCATGACTTCAAGTATGAGGTGTTTGTAATAATAACCTTATGTCTGATTTACGTGGTGAGTCTCACAGCGCCATTACGCTCAGACCGGTCACAGGAGGATACTCAGAAAACTAGCTTTATTAAACTACAGGTGAAATTTGAAACCTCTGTCACTTTGCCTCCTGGATTTTATGCTTCTTAGTAAAAGGACTAAGAAGAATGCTTAGATATCGATATACTGCACAGTTTTTTTTTGTATATACCTTAAAGATGCATCAGCACAACATTTAGCTATACAAGTTACCATTTCATTCCTTTATTTGCATCTTCTCAGGTGGGGTTGCTAGGTTCCGGAAGGACCCTACAAAAATATTTCGATGGCCTTGCGGAAAATGCAGACACATCCACATCGGCGGGTTTGAGCTATGTTTTAACCGGTAATCTATTCCCCAATGTATCTCATCTGTTTTACCCAAATCATATATGAAACTTTTTTCATGCGACTCATGTTTCTGTGTCTTACAGAGGCAACATTGGCTTTGCTGAGACACCCGGACTATTGCATCTCTTGTTATTCATCAGTAAGTCTACTGGTTCTTTCATGAATGATTTGCATGCTCTGTATATTCGCCATTTTAGCCTGTTTCATTACATGGGCTAGGAATTCTAGGATCATTCAGTTGCAGAACCTAAACATTATGTTTGTATCATGTACTTTCAGGTGGATGTGAAGCCGAATATAGAAGCTGGAGAGCAGCAATTTAACAATCTCTCCATTGAAGAACGGGGGAAATTTGACGAGGAAACACTTGTTAATGTGGATAGCATAAAGAGACGAGGCTCGAAGATTCGAACAGCTAGCGGTTTCACCAATGAATATATTGTGGTACATATAGAAACTCCCAATTAGAATGTTTAGTGGGTAGAGTAAGACGGTTGTCCTAAAAGGTTTTGGGAATTGTTTAACTTGAAGTGTTGTACATGTTCAGGTAACTATCTTGGTGGCTGCAGAGGGTGTACATCAATTGCAGCCAATAAACGGAAGTCTGGATCTGAAGGAAGCGTTACAGAAGCTCGGGCGATACCAAGAAACAAAATATTGGTAAGAGAGTGTATCCATCCGTAAGTTGCATAATCATGGGAACAGTTTAAAGTCTAGCAAATGAAAGATGTAAGAATTAATTGTTGCAGGCAGTAGAAGTATTGTGGACACCACAGGACGAAAATGAAGTTTTGTCAGAAAGGGAACTACTTGAAGATTACCCACTTTTGAAGCTATTCTAAGTTTTACTCTCATAATACCAAATAAAATCAATTTGGTTAGGTGTTACAGCTTATTACTTTGTTGGAGGTCTGCTTAATAATTAGAAGCTTTCGAAAGCTCGTTTTCCATGGCGTTTCGAGAAGAAGAAAAATCACTTATAAAACATGTTGGAAGGTTACACTTCTGTTTTTTTTTTTTTTTTAACCGGTATAATAGGAAGTAGGATTATTTTCGATAGTTCCTATTGAAGAAAATTCGAAATTTTTCTTTGCACGAAAAAGAGTCTTTATTATTGAGAAATCAGGCCCAAAATCTTTGTTTAGAATTGAATTGAATCATATGTAAAATGCTAAAAGTAATTAATTTGATTAATTGAAGGAAACTTTGCTAAATTGACTCAGTTTGAATTAGTGTTTTGTAAATTAACCTTCTACCTATGATTTCTTGTCCTAATAACCTTTGTTATTTTTATATCCCAATTTTAACCTTCAAATTGAATAAAAATAATTTATTTACAATATTTTCGGAATATATATATTTGTTTTTACGAAATTGAAAGAAAAAGAGAATATTCATTTTTGGAAATTTTTTTTTAATAGACA